TGTGCAAAAGGTTCTCCCCCTACCTCATATTTATAAAATGGTCCTCAAAAAAAATTTAGACCTCTAGGTTGACCTGCGCGTAGGTGGGCTCCAAAAAACACAAAGATTTATGTTTAATCATAATTTGCGGCAGGAAGACGACCTCCAATCAAAAAGTGACATGAGTCCAAAGTTGTACAGTATTTGAATTGATCTACATACAAAGTTTTAGACCTCTATCTCTAAAAATGCAGCCTCCACTGCTTTGGGAGCTGGAGGTTGCACAATTTATTTCTTCTCGGAAATGGGTCTGTCAAGGTCCAAAATGGATTTTTTACTTCAGATGTTGTGCTCTTAGAGCGCTAGAAGTGGGTAAAGAGCCACTCTCAAAAAGTGGATCTTATGGTTCAAGAGTAGATATTACCCACTTATAGCACTCTGATAGGTGAACAATGAAAAACTACCTGAAAATCACTATTCACTTAATACAGATTTAAGTTTATCACTATCTGATGTATCCAAAAGAATCTCTCCTCCCATAGGATCTCCAACTCCATCTCCAGCTCCTCAGGAAAGGCAACCCTGAGGATCCCCTCTATCAGCTCATCATATTTAGGAGGCCGCTCTATAACCCTCTGAGAGAATCCTAAAGCAGCACTTTTTCTCTTCTTCTCGATCTCTTTCTTATCCTCATCTTCCAGGGAAATCTTATATCCTCCTGAGGAATCACCACTTCCTCGAAACCATCCTCCTGCAGAGCCCAAAACTTAAGACAGGGTATCGTTATGAAAACCAGTTTTAAAACCCGGGTTTCACAAATGGGGTTAGGCAGTTTTATGAATATCAATATTTTTGTAATAAAATATTATTTTTTTCACTTGATTTATATTCTCCATTTTTTTCGAATCTCTTAAATCAAAATCTACACAAATGTTAAGACCCCAAAAAGGAAACTCGGGAGTTTCGTTCAACGATACTCTTTTAAATTTCAGGCTCTGAGGCCTGGAGACCTCCCCTCTGAAATCATTCCTGACTCCAGAAGGACCAGGAGTAGGCTGACTCTGAGGAATGCCAGCCGGCTCCTCAGCAGTAGAACCAGTTCCACTCACCTTCAGACTCCTCGTCCTCATCCTCTTTAACTTACTAGGCCTAGAACTATTCTTCCTTTTCACTCTAGACCTCTTCTTCAGAGTACTCAGGGCAGAGTTCTCATCCTTCCATCTGATTCTCTCTTCATACTCACAGTCAGAGGACAACTTGTTAAACACAACCATCCTCTTCCTCCTCATCCGAGTCTCAGCTCCACTCTTCTTCAAACACTCCGTCTTCTCCTCTAGAGAATTACACCATACCAGTCTCAACCCATCATATATACCTCTGTAGAATTTCCGGAACCCTACATCACTCTCCATCCTGTAGAAGAACTTGGTATGCTCCCAAGGATTCATCCTACCCTATTCCAAGAGACCATCTCTGAGACCTTCCTACAATCATACATATCTTCCCTATATCCTTACTCTTCACCTTGATTGCTCCAGGTCTCTTCAATCCTCTGATACCTTCCACAGGATCCTTCCATATCTGATCATCCAATCCTTCCATGCTCAAGTTGAACCTGGAGTACACTCTATCCTCCTCTCCAGGGGGTTCCAGAACTCGTCCATCAGACCATCTCAGCTTGGAACTAGCCAGGACTTCCATCTGATGCAGGAACCATTCTCTGGCCTGGACAAGGCATCTGCATCATTCAGAAGTAGGACTTGGCCAATTCCCCAGGATCCTAGTCCAGAGTCGAACCATCAGAGGAGAAAAATTAGCAAACTTCTTCCTTTCATTCCTGTATCTGAAAGACAAGATTATCTCCTCCCTGGTCTCAGCTTCATCCTCCACTCCCTGATGGAATTTCACTCCTTCCAAGGACATCAAGACAAAGTCCAAGAACCAATCAGCTGCAGTCTTCTGATTGCATTTCAAGAACCCGCACAGCACATCAGGGTCTGGAAACACATCTTACAGCCAAAGACCAGACAACATTATAAGACACGAATCCAAACATGATATCTCCTAATGCATAACATCTGAGGGATTCTGGAATCTGATGCCATCTAACACCCCATTAGTCATCACCAGTCGATACGTTCTTGTTCAACAGGGTTCCAAGCACTTGGACCCCCATAGCTGTCATGTTTCTGGATTGGAACTTGTACCCAGCCAGGATTGCCTAGGATGTGTGATCGATAAACCCTCTCACAACTCTCNCCCCCCAATATCTCTCTGGATCGTGAGACTGGCAGATACAGGGAGATCGCGGAGTGACTCTAGGATCCCCGTCTGAATAGTCATCTTAGTATGAACATACATTGGATAGGCATATAGGACTGGTGAATCATGAAGAACCACGGGAATCCTTCCTACTATCTGATGCTTGTCCAAATATCCTACCCGATCCAGATCGTTTGTTTTGAATTGGAACACCGGGGACAATCTTCCTTCATCATAAAACAACTCCATTTTGCACCACAAATCTCTTCATCTCCGCAGGTTTAAATGCTCTTTTCACTCTTGCTGATTCCCACTAGAAAAAACACTGCTCTGTTTTCTCCGTCTCTCATTCCTGGGAAACCATCTATGTTCTCCCAGTTGACAAATCCTGCAGTTATCATCCTGGATGAGATTACAGTTATGACAATACTTAGTCCTCCATCCTTACATGTAACCAGTCGATCTCAGAGCTTTCATCCATCCATGGTACACAGGATCAACCAGTAGCTCTGTGCGCATTTTGTATATTAAACTTGTTAAGGTTCAGCTCTCCTACTCCTGATGATAATCCATCCTTCTCCAGGTTCCACTTATACCAGGGTAACTCACCAAGCCAAGGCATCTCACTGAACCAGGAGATCTCTTCAATCCAGGATAATTCATCAATCCTTGACATCTCACCAAACCATACTCCAAACGAATAAATCTCATCCATTCAAGAATATCCTAGAAGCAAATAAGGATCGCTCATTGATCCCTGATCATCACAATTTTTCTCAGGATCGCCATTCTTCTCAGGATCGTCATTCTTCTTAAAATTACTGTTACTCCTTGTTAAATCCTCAGTCTGTCTAAAATAATTAGTCTTCTTAAAACCATCAGCTTTATCAAAGCCATCATTGCTCCTAAAATCTTCATTCCTCTTAAAATTGTCATTCTTCTTAAAATTTTCAACCTTGTCAATCTTCTTCAAAAACTATTTCTGGTTAGGCTTAGCTTTCCAACCTTGTGATACAGGATTCATTAGTAGCTCTGCTACACCCCTCCCCGCGTTAGCAGCAGAAACGGAAAACTCACATCCTATGAAACCCTTCATCCAGACCATTGTGTGTTGCATTTTACAAATCAGATTCCTTACAGTCATCCCTCCCATGTTAGTTTCAACTGTGTCTTTCAATGCTATATTGAAATTGTGAAATGGAGATTGAAACTCCTCCACAAAATCAACCAAACTTGCTGAAAAATTGACCTTCTCATGTTCCAGTAAGCTTCCACTCATTTTTATTTCAATATTCTCCCCAATTATACTCTCTAGATTCTAGACAGTCGTCCCAGTCTCAGAATTATTCAAATTCCTTGACTGATTAATCTCTTCATGGTTCAGTGAATCTCCATCTGTGGCTGTGATGAAATCACAAGTTGGAGAATTACACTCCTCCACGAATCCATTCACACTCCCTAGATCTTCAGGTATTACAAAGTCCTTGATCCTTCCTTGATCCAACACATGGTGTAGATATGAATTTACCAACCTAGTTCTGTTGTGTGATTGGCATGAGTTCTCTTGATCCTCTAGGATTGATATTAATCTCTCATGATCATCCAAGGATTCCTCAAATTCTTCTTCCATCTCACCATTGTAATCCTCAATATCTTCTCTATTTCTAGGATAAGGATTCACAGTTAATTCCAACTTCTCATTTGTTCTAATTGAATAATATCTCTCCTCAATCTCAGTATCTAAATCCCCAAGAATGCTTGTTACTTTAGCATCAGCCATCACCTTGGCATCAGGCATTATCTTGATCAGCCATCAGCTTGGAATCACCATGAGATCTCATACCAGGGGTTCTCATCAGTCTAAAATATCTCTTATCTATCTGCTCCAATTTGGTATCAATCATCAACTCGGCATCAGCCATCATCCCAACATCAGCATCAGCAATCAACCCAGTATCAGCATCAGCAATCAACCCAGTATCAGCCATTATCATATTATTTATCTGAACTATTTTGGTATCTGCCATCAACTCTGCATCCACCATGGTCTCAGTATTAACCATTATTACTACTTTCTCATTCAGCTTAGAATCCAGTTTATCCACATTAGATTCCAGCTTGAATAATCTCTGCTCATCTATTTTCAATCTCTCCCAAACTTTAGAACTATTAGGAATCAGTATGTATATATCCTCCTGCAGAGTTTGGAGTATTAACTTTGCCTCTTGAATGGCCATAGAGAATGTATTCATCCCCTCAGACATTTTATCAACCTTTTCCTCCACTAGATTCTGTCGATGTTTCATCAGTTTAAACCATTGTTCAGCTTGATCATTATTTCCAAAACCTTCTATGGATAATCTGGATATAATCTCATCAATGGACCCACTGGTATCCAGATCTAGTACTCTTCTGGAAGGCATTCCATCAGATAGAGGATGAATACGGAAATAGTACTCTTCTGGAAGGCATTCCATCAGATTGCAAAACCCTGGGAGTGATAAGGATAGGATGAACAGGTTCCGATTGAACAGATCCTGAACCTCCCACTCCTGCAAGTCTATCGCTAGAGATTATGCTTGGTTTGTATTCTGCACCTGTTCTGCTCCAACCTGGGGTGTTTCGAGGTTGTAAATCCTGACCATCAGCCAGCCTAGTAGAACCAGGACCCGATTGAACAGATCCCGATCCTGCCATTGCTCCGCTATTATTTCTGGATTCATTCTGTAAATGGGTGAAGATGATATACTATACTGGGATTATTTCGCCATAAGTTCTACATCATGGAAGGCATTGTCTGGATCACAACTCCTTATCATCATTTCATGATATTCTTCACTGGATTCTCGTACCGGAACACGTTCTTCAGGTAGAGGATATGATACTTGATTCTCCTTGGATACACCCTTAGCTCGTTTTCGAAATACATTCAAACTATCCTTAAGACTTGCCAATTCTCCCACCAAAGATAAATCACCCCTGGTTAATAAAACTTCCAAGATTTTTTGCTCAGTGCTCCCCAAAAAAAAAAAAATTTAACTGGGGGCATTTTTTTTTCAAAATTGGGGGCAAAAAATTATTTTGGGATCGAGAAAATCAGTTTTTTTGGTAATTATATTGACCCCTGTTGGAAATTAGTTAACTCTAATGAATTAGATTGGAAATTAGTTAACTGTAATGCATTATATTGGAAATTAGTGAACTGTAATGCATTAGATTGAAAATCTGGCAACTGCAATGCATGATCGCAATCTTAGATCGAACATTTCTAGAAGATTTAATGCTAAAAAAAACCCGGTTTATTTTGATGTTCTAGCTTCAACTATTGTAATTTTATAGTTGATGATATTCCTAAACCAGAAGTAAATGTAAAATATACATTTACATAAACTAAAATTCTTCAATCTAAATATATGTAAATTCTTTTGGTCGGCAATGTATATATATGTTAAACAAATATTTCACTAGTCTATCTAATTCTTGAAAATATGTTAAATCTCATGAAAAGAAGAACTTGAGACAAATAATATAGTACATATATCATAACAGCAAGTTTTTGTACTGAAGGTAGTTGGAGAGTATATAGATATCTGGACATGAAGTACCAAGTATATGTGTAGAGTATAGATATCTGGACATGAAGTACCAAGTATATGTGTAGACTGTAGAGTATAGATATCTGGACATAAAGTACCAAGTATATGTGTAGAGTATAGATATCTAGACATAAAGTACCAAGTATAAGTGTAGAGTATAGATATCTGGACATAAAGTACCAAGTATATGTGTAGAGTATAGATATCTAGACATAAAGTACCAAGTATAGGTGTAGAGTATAGATATTTGGACATGAAGTACCAAGTATATGTGTATAGTATAGATGTGTAGGTGTATAAAAAACATAAATATTAAGGACAAGAAGTCAGCATAAGTATAAACTATTAGTATAAAGAACAGGAAGTACCCAGTGTTTGTGTAGATTATGGGGTTTAAAGACAGGAAGTAAATAATTTATCTTAGAGCATAAATAGGACAATAAATACTTGGTTTAGTTTAGTACATAGATAAATCGAACAAACAGTAACTCTGAGAACAGGTAAGAAATACACTTGAATATTAAGCACAGGTAGTACCTTGTGTACACGTAGAGCATAGATATCATCGGCAGGAAGTATGTCACCACCATGAAGGACACATTGTACCTGTAAAAATTCCAGTTTATATATTTGCGTATCTATCTGTCGATTCATTGTTCATTCTTATGTCTGTCTCTTTGTATATCTGTCTCTTTGTTTGTTTGTCTCTTTGTTTGTCTGTCACTTTGTTTGGCTATCTCTTTGTTTGCTGTCTCTTCGTTTGTCTTTCGCTTTGTTTGCCTGTTTCTTTGTATTTCTGTCTATTTGTTTGTCTGTCTCTTTGTTTGTCTGCCTCATTGTTTGTCTGTCTCTTTGTTTGTCTGTTTCTTTGTTTTTTTCCGTCTTTTTGTATGTCTGTCTCTTTGTCTTCTGTTTCTTTGTTTGGGTGTCTCTTTGTTTGTCTGCCTCTTTTTTGTCTGTCTCTTTGTTTGTCTGTTTCTTTGTTTGTCCGTCTTTTTGTATGTCTGTCTCTTTGTCTTCTGCCTCTTTGTTTGTCTGTCTCTTTGTATGTCTGTCTCTTTGTCTTCTGTCTCTTTGTTTGCCTACTTTTTATAAGTCTGTCTCTTTGTTTTTCTGTCTATTTGTTCGACTGTCTCTTTGTTTTTTCCGTCTATTTGTTCGACTGTCTCTTTGTTTGGCTGTCTCTTTGTATGTGTGTTTATTCTTGTAAGGTTCATAAATTCCGGAACATAAAATTCAGCACTAAAGGTTCCAAACAAATAAATCCAATTACTGAGAAACATAAAAGGGGTTGTTTATGTAATTTTAAAGGAACTGATTACTCCCAACAAACTCTAATTTTCTCATAATTATTTCTTTGCAACCAATAGAACGTTGTAAATAGAATGTAGTATAGTAGTTATCAAACAGGTAAAACATTATATGTTTACACCATGAGATTGTAATTCGAATAAGATGAGTAGAGTTTGAGGTGCATACATCGTTCTTTAATTAATGACGATGAGAGATTTAGTCTAAACCAGTGAAATTTTCATATTAAATCACAGAAATCTTTTGAAAAATGCTCACACAATGTTTTATTTGAAATAAATTAACGATATCTGAAATAATAACAATAAATCCCGTTATTTGAAAGGCGGCAGGTTAGATATATTTTTCTAAAATATTGCAAACTTAGCTGTTTGATAATTATCAAGTCCATTATCTGATTAAATTACGAGTTTTCTGAGTGATTTCTTGTTGTCTTTTCAAAGAAAACTTTTCAAGATTTATTTTGTTTTTTTTCCTCATTTGAACAAACTAAGTAATTAATCAAATTATGTAAAAATTAGAATATAATAGAAAACAAACTTCAGAGGTTTAAAGAAGGTTCAATGGTGAATGGATTCAAGCTGCTTCTTATTTTCCTGAGTTGAGTTCAAAAAACCGGTTTAATATTCTATTTGGCGGATTTTCATGGTAGGAATTGGCGCATTATGAGAACAAGACGCAACATAGAGCCTTATTCAGTGGTGGATATAAGGAGGGTTATTGGGGTTATTTA